GTAGAAAAGGAAAATGTAAAGGTGAGTGATGATTGCGAAGAGCAGACAAATTGAATAAGAATATTCAACACTACTACTAATTTACCATAACCAAAAGAAATGAGAAAAAAAAAAATGAAAGTTGCTTTTGGAATCCCACGTCAAATCCATACACTGATACACGTGATGAAGTTTCCATCCGGGTTCCAGCCTACGAGAAGTCAACAGAGGCCAGGGGAAAGCCAATTTAGAATAGAGAAAAAGAACAGGAAAAAGTGTGAAAATAGAAATTTGAATTTTAAAATTATTGAATGCAAAGGAACAGAGAGGATGAATGCATGGATGGATGGATGGATGGATGGATGGATAAGACAAATTGGATGATTTGGATGAGCAGACCTTACTGATATTTTCATATATGTTTGTACAAGTCATTATCCTGACCATCATCAGCTGTGCTCTTTTTTATGAATCTCAAGCTTCTGAAATTGCTTAATTTTACAAAAGTCTGGTTTAAACTGAAAAAGATAAAATAAAGGTATAAAAGTTGCTACTCTACTTTTTATGAAACTTTTCTCTTAAAAGTTATGTACGAGCAGTTAACGAGTTTTAACCATTCAACGCTGTGCCTTTAGTTTCAAATGGTATTTTGAGTGAGTAACAATGTGAGATTTAAATTAGAAATTTTAATATATAATTAATTTTTAAATTTATATATTAATATTTAACAAAATAAATTTTTAAATTTTAATTAAATAAAATAAAATAATTTAATATTAAAATTTTAATTTATTTTAAAAATCAGAATTAATATACACTTATACTTATATATATATATAACATTGTATCTTTGGTGAATCAACTTAATGGGCTAATTGGTTCATTCTCACACTCGTATAGGGTAAGTTGAACTCCCACCAAATCAATAACTTGGAAGTGTTTCCATATCCCAAATTCTCTCCTGTCCATCCACTTGTAAGTTGTAAATAGCAAGCTTAATTAGTTAATTCGTTTTTGTCATTGACTGAGAATCTGGGCCACAAAAACAAAATTTGAATTAATTAACTAACCCTTTTGAAAACTGAACTTAATTGGTTGAGTAGGAAAAGACATGTCACCACAGCCATTTTTACAGCAAGAATTTCCAAAAACATGACTACTGAAATTAAGGACCATGTCTTAAATCAATCATTTTTATTTTACAGTACAATACAATTAAAATATAAAACAAATAAGTCTTCATGAATACTGCTGAATTTCTACATAAAATGAAAACTACAGGTAAAGACAAAACGAGAAACTATAAATACAGCCAACAGAAAGAAAAAAAAATCTGTGCAGCGTAGAGGAGATGAGAGGAGAGAGAGAGAGAGAACGGGGTAGCAAGATTGAAACGATTAATAATACTTACGGGTGAGTGGATGAGTTGACAGGGTATTATTTTAGTTTAATTAAAGATCTTAATTTTAAGTCTTAAAAATGTAATTTTGTTAAAATTTGTGAGGGAAAGTTTCATCATCCATTGGATTCTATCTGATTCGAATATGAATTAGTCGGTGATATAGTGGGTTTCAAATATCGGGTGGTCCATACCAAAATAATAATAATAACAATAATAAAATAGAAAGAATCCATCCCTATGCACGCAAATTACTCACCAACACAAATGGGCCTATGCAGTCAGTGGTCGCACCACAGCAGCAGCAGTAGTAGCAGAGAACAGACCCCTCATCCCCATATCCCCTCACCCCTCTCTTCTTTTTGGCTTCCCTCCTTTTTGTCTCCCCAAGCAGTCTCTATCCCCTGTCCACTCCGCTTCCAGCTGACGTTCGCTACCCCTCCCCCTCCCACTCGCGTCCCGTTAAAGGAAAGCCATAACCTGCATGCCCCTGCCTAACCTCTCCTCTTTCCCATTCTACCCCTCCCTTTTTCTGTCCTTTTACAGTACTCCTACCATGTCCATCCCTCACATGCTCAACTTGTATTCTTTCTGACTTTTATCAACTTTTTATTTTCTTGAGATTATAAAGACATTAATTTATTTAAAATTAAATCTGTAGTCCATTGAGAATAATGAACTTTTAAGCAACCTTTGTTTAATATATTTTTCACTTTTCTTAAGCATTTGGATTGTTTCTTGCAACTTTTAGACTCAAAAATATTTTATGATATTTTAAAGTTGAGTAATTGTTCGTACGTCTAGAATTCAACATCCAGACTCATTATTTTACTCTACTTTTAAAGAATGATTTTCCTGCAAACATGCAGCAAAATCTTTAGGTGAAAATGCGAGCTTTTCTCTGCCCATAGTGTGGATATGAGTTTTCAGATTTGAGATTTTACTTGTGAGTTTATAGGAAAAATGATTTATGAACAATTTGTATGTAAAAATTTCTCATATAATTTTCTATATTATTTGATAATTAATTCTTTTTACTTTATTAAAATTTAGTTACTTGTTTTTGAAACACAACTCATATTGTCAGCATCATATTCAAGTACGCAACAATGTGGCCTGTGCCTTGAATGCAGAACAAAAAGAAATTTGCAAATCATAAATACCCATCGCAGAAACATTTCTATCATAAATTATTTGAACAATTTCATTACTGATAGCATAAAGGTTACAAGTGAGCAAGCTGTAAAGATTCTCTAGTGCAAGTCACATTAAGAAACGGTGGGTACTTACCCCTTCATACTCACTCCAAGGAGGTTTCCCAGTGAACATTTCAATGATTGTACAGCCCAAGCTCCAAATATCAACAGCAAGTGCTAAATCAGAGCTGTTGTCTTTCTGCATTACTGCTTGCATGAGCTGCAGGAAAGAGAATAGTATGAGTAATCAAGAGAATAATATCAGTAATCGTAAGACATAGGGTGTCCCTTATTGATGGTCAGTCAAGATGGTACCTCTGGAGCCATCCAATATGGACTTCCCTTCAAAGATAGATCAGCTCTTTGTCCAGTAAGCTATGCAACAGAAACTCCAAATTATTCAAGCCAAATATGAGAAATCAAGCAAGCATCACCTTAAGACCAGATGGACTGAAATTTGAGAAGTTCAGAAAAGTACAAACTCCACTGCTAATGTTGACAAGACACTGAAATGACACAAGAATTTGTACAAATGCGCAACATTCATTTTAATTTTCTTTTCCTTCCATCCCTTGGGGGGAAGGAACACATCTGAGTTCGATGGAAATGAGAATAAAGGTAAATTGCAAAAGATTCTATAGCCACAAATTTGCAGGCAAAATCTACAAATGAGAGTATAAAAAAGAGAAGACATGTGAAATAAAACTCACATGTCTCGCCATCCCAAAGTCAGCAAGCTTGACAACACCAGATGCATCAACAAGCAAATTAGCCCCTTTAATGTCCCTAATTGAAGCAGGAAAACAGCACACTAAGCCTCCAATAATAGATGCAATAATATACTGCAGGCTCCTTTCCTCAGCACTACTATTTACCAATGATTAAGTTTAACATTGAATAAAAAAATTAGACACTATTTGTTGTTATACTCTAATTTGAGACACTAGAAAGTATGAGAGTCTAGCCTCAATACATAAAATCAAGCATGTTTCCATACCTGTGAATGGTCTTTGTGCTATGTAAGTAAGCCAATCCATAAAGAATATGGCGAGTAAAATTGCGAACAACAGATTCTGTCATGGCTCCACAATGTTCTCGAAAATATTTATTAATTGAACCAGGATGAACATATTCAAGACATATATAAAACCGATCTTCGACCTGAAGATGCAAAAATTAAGATTCCTAATTAGTTAACTTCTTAAAATAACTTGTTCAGGAACAAGAAGATAGTGGACTCTTTAATGTATTAGACTATTACTCACTATTTCACTCCCATAATACTGCACTATATTTGAATGCTTCAGCTGGCTGAGAACTTTAATTTCCTGAAACAAATGAAAGTAGTTAGAATTCAGGTAGAGGGAACAAGCTACTAAATAATACAAAGAACTCCATTGTCACATATATTCTGCCTTCAACATAGGCAGATGACATGATCTGTGAAAACAAATCATGCAATCTCCAAGACCAAAATCAGTCTACACATATCCTCCTAGTCTCTTATTCATCTGATTGCACCCCTGAACATTAACACCACTAAGTTAAAGAAAAGTATCAGCCACCAGAAGATTACCTGCTGTAGTTGCTTTATAGATTCTGCAGATTTTGGGTCGTCAGGAAATATTTCAACTTCCTTCATTGCACATAAAGCGCCAGTTTCTCTGCCAGAAAACAAAACCACTTTAGTTTTTAGATAGTAAAAGAGACTAACAGTAGTGCAGGACATATACAAAGAACTTATGTACCGGTTGCTGGCAACATAAACACTGCCAAATGTACCACGGCCAATAAGCTTTCCCTTTTGCCATTGACTATTCATTGGCAATGACTCTGGCTTGGTTGCCACTGGTACAATGGAAGATGATGGTGAAGGCATGGCTGCTCCTGGGCGACGAGGGGAAGATGATGGCGAAGGCATGGCTGCTACTGGAGGAAGAAGGGAAGATGATGGTGAAGGCATTGCTGCTCCTGGATGAAGAGGGGAAGATGATGGTGAAGGCATGGCTACTCCTGGAGGAAGAGGAGAAGATGATGGTGAAGGCATGGCTGCCCCTGGAGGAAGCGGTAGTGGGTGTCCACCAATAAGACCATTACTTTCAGGCCGCGTTGATGGGGTTTCAAGCGACAATTTGGGATGCAAAGGTGAAGCAGCACCACTTGTGCTTCTTGTGCTTCGACGGGGACTTCTATTTGGTGGACTGTGGAGAGGAGTATTATCAGTGCTAAAAACAGTGCAATCAAAGAATGCTGGGGGAGGGAGTCCTGGATTATCTAAGGTTGGCATCTCTGGCGCTGACCATGCTTGATTCCCTTTAGGAACCATGTTATAAAATGGGAAAACGTCAGCAGCACTTCTTCTGTGTGGGCTAAGCGCAGGACTGGCAAATGGACTATTAGTAGCACTTCTAACAGCAACATTTACCCTAAACTCATCTCTATGACTTTCCTCTCTATTCAAATATTGACGTGCCACCCTTGATGATAACCTCGAATCTCCTCCATACTCCATTGTCTTCCTTGAATCATGGGCAGCAAACGTACTGTAACAGAAGATCAAGTTATGAAAATGCTTTATATCAACATAAGCAGTAACATTTGGGAATGGTGAAAGGTAATAGCCTGAGGACAGCCTCAAAGCCACACCTCCCCTCTAAGAGGGTCTCAGGTTTGAATCCCTTCTCTCAAAATATCAAAAGAACGTTATGTCAAAACGAATTATGATCACTTCTACAATGAACATCAATAAAAAAATATATAATAATAATAATAATAATTAAAATAATTTAAAAAAAAATAAAAATAAAAAGAGGAAGAAGAAATTATCCGACTAAAAAAAATTCATAACATAAAAAGGGTGGATGTTCCTGGAAGAGAAAAATGTTCAACTGTTCCAAGGGAAAAAATTAAAAAAAAAAAAAACCAAATTAAGCAATAATTTAGAAAGGTTAAGCATTCTACAAAAGTTTTTTCGATTATCCATATATCAAATTAAAATCAATATTAAAAAGAGAAAAATAAAAAGAAGATCACCTGGCCACCGGCGTGAAAGGAACGCTTCCTCCTTCCGGCGCGTCTGCTTTGTCTTCATCCCTATCCCTGTCTCTGTCCTCTACACATTTACCAGGACCGAGGTCCTTCGGCGAAGGATACCGCTGCTCCCCGTCCGCTTCTGGCACCGGAAGCGGTAGCGGCAACGGCACAGCTACCGGCGCAGACGACGACCTCGTTGCCGATGCGGGCACCACGGAACCTTGATCAAGACTGCTCGGGGACCTCGACAGAGACAGAGGATCCTCAGCCTCCCTCAACGATTTCCCAGAGACAAGGTCCTGGTCGCTGAGATGCCTCAACTTCCTCTGCCTGCTGAACCTGGGAGCGATAATGCGAAACACCCGATGATTACGACGGTGATGGTGATGCTGATCTTCATGCTGATTCTGAGAATCTTGAATCAAACCCTTCCCATTGTCTTCGTGCCCATGCTTCTTGGGAGAAGACGAGGAGGAATGAAGGAAAGAGGAGGAAGAGGAGGAAGAGAAGGAGATGTTCTGGAGCCAACGCATCTTGACGAAATCATGATAAATTGATACTCAACTCAATATATTCATTGATTGATTGAACGATGGCAGGAGAGAAAGCAATGAAATTGGGAATGGAGAAAATGAAATTCCATCTGTAACAGAGAGGGCGCTGAAAGGTACCGGAAGGGCGGTTTTGTGTTCCAACGCGGTTTACAACGGTTGCCCGCTGTCTCTAAGTCAATTAAAGAAAACGGGATTACCCTTTATAAGTCAAGACCTCCCTCTCTTTCTTTTTTATTTATTTTTAATTATTATTTTGGTTAATTCTGTTATTTTGGGGTCAGTTGTTTCATCATATAGGGAAGGGGAAGCTGTTGTGCCGTCATTGTTGCTAGGTGTTTCCCACCACCATTTTTAAGGAAAAAAGAACTCGGCGTGGCACCCTCTCCCTAATACTTATCATATATGGTGGCGGCATCGTCTCTATAATTATAATCTTTTTATTTTCAAGTAGTTTTTTTTAATAAAAAATTAATTGTTATCAATATATTACTCCCTTTGCCAAATATTACTTAAAATGTTAACTGAAAAGTTATTTATATAACTAGATAAATAAAATGGAAAATGATTAAGTTAAGAACATTTATCATATTTTTTTTAACATATTAAAAGTTTGTCATTCGACTTTTTAATTTTAATTTTAAATTAAAATTTTAATTGAATTCTTATTAATATCACTTTTTTACACTACATGCAATTTTCAATAAGAAAGGTTTTTACAAGAAAATGATAAAAATATAATTATCTACTTCCATAAAAAAATTTAAAAAAGGGGAATTTGGAACTAAAAAAAGGAAAATGACTCTGAACGTGCGGAGAGCGGCAGGACATAGTAAACACATCACTGACCGGTGCAACTTGCTTTGGAAGACAAGGTCAACGATCCAAATATTCCATAAAATGATGGAATCACATGCGAATTCATGGCCCTCTAGACACGTGGCATTCTTATCAGCTCTGATGAGTTACGTAGGAGTCGCCCTGTTTCGAGAAAGACGATAAGGTCAGACCCAAAAGAAAAGACAACCGAATGATCAACAATACTTTTTCCTTAGCCGACTTCAAAATTAAAAATAAATAAATAAATAAATAAATAAAAAAGACACTTTTCCAAAACGAAACAAGCCCTTTGATTTGACTCGTGAGGCCCTAGAGTATTATCAAGTATCAACTCCACTCATTGAAGACCAGTTACTGTGGAGAAACTTTCTTTCAAATCTAGATTGTAGTAAATTATTTTTTTAAAGTTATTAAATAAGAGAGAAAATCTATTGCCTATCATCTCTTTATTAAAAATTTTATATGTAAGTTTAAAAATGTGAAATTTGAGTTTAATTTTAATATTAAAAAAATTATTAAATAATTTTATAATATTAAAAAATATATTTTATTTAATAATTAATATATTATAATTTGAATATAAGACACATTACATACGAATAAAATGTGATAAAAATAAAAGATAATTATTTTTTATTGTGTAATCAAAATAAATATATATTAATTTGATATAATTTATATTGTATTATTTTTTATATTATATATACAATATGGGTAATA